GTACAACGAGGCTTCCTTTGTCATCGCGATTGTAGAAGTTTGTTCTTACATCTCTACTTCTATTTCAATATTCAAAACTGATTAAATTCCGCTTCTTTTATGTAAAATAGCCTTTTACCATTGCTTTTATGAAATCTGTTTTGTAATAATTCTGATTTTTATGTACTCTGGTAATGTATGAAATGGTTAAGAATGTTGTAAGCTTTATTCACTTGTTTATGATCCTGATGAAAACGTGGATTTTCGAGTTCTCTTGTTGGGTGTGTTCGACAGACTACCGGATTTAACTTAGTCTCTTATGTACTTAGTGTCAAATGGCTGGCAATGGCAAGTACACTTAGAATTAGGTTAAATTGGACGATTCTGCCACACGGATCACACTTAAATAAGATGAACATGATTGCAACATCTTTGGTCGTGTTTGGCTAGGCTCCGCCCACGGTGCTCTGTCGCGGAAGGCGGAGCCGGAGCGACGAAGCCACAAATCTGGACTCCTCCGTATGTGCAAAAGGGCTTCGGTTCCTCTGGTGGACAGTTAGAAGCAGCTCCTCCGGCCAGCGCGTTTGGTGCGGCTCCTCCGCTGGAGCTGCCACTTAGCCGGAGCCAGAGCCCGGCCAAACACGGCCTTTGTCTAATTTTCTTTCTTTCCATAGCTCAGGCAATTGCTACATATTTAATAACTTCAATGAGTTTAAAAAAAACTTCAATGACTCGTAATATCCACAGCATCCTCATCAGGCGGTGCCAGGGGTATTCCCTGGTAGGTATTCCATAGAATACCCAAGATTTTGGTGACAAAAATAAATATATAGAGTATTCTCCCTAGTATAGACGTATATGGTATTCCCTCCGATTATCCAATTGGATCAAAAGCCCACAAATCTACTCGGAGCAGGGACAGGGAGCGACAGGAATTGTTTCGCGTGATGCTTGAGGGGACAATAGGATGGGCGAGTAGCAGTATGCCCCGTCCTGTGTCACTGACCTGGTGACTACTGATTGTAACCCTAATGTTTCTTGATGAATGAAATTCTCGAGTAGGAAAAAAAAACAACTGTTTTTGTTTCTATCCGCTGTTTGACTTTCTGCCTTTTTTCTTAAGCAGAAGCACTTTTCAAGAGCTGAACCAAATACAACCATGTTTAAGCCTAGTTTATATATTGTACTGCAAATAGTGTTCTACTAGGAGTAGGAATAGGACATATATCAATAAATCAGACTATATATATAATAAACATATCGCTAGCCTTGGTAGCCTCAAGTTGATCGGTAATGCTATATGTCTGACGTCCGACGCGCTTCTTCACCTCCGGACGTGGCTCGTGCTCCTCCACTCGCTCCCCTCGTCTTATCCTCATCCACCTGCCTCACGTCGCTTAGCCCGCTCCATACGGAGACGCTCGCCGCCGCTCCCTCCCGAGCCGCTCGCGGCGCCGCCCCGCCCGAGCCGTGCGTCCCCCACCCGTCGCCCCTCCCTCCCTCTGCGACCCCCATGCCACCAGAGAGGAGGGCGATGGCGGCGGCTTCCGGTGAGCTGCCCCTCTCTCCCTCCCCACCTCCCTCCTTCCCTCCATGACCCCATGCCACCGGAGAGAGGGAGACGGCGACGGCTTCCGGCGAGCCGCCCCTCTCTCCCTCCCCCCTCCCTCCTTCCCTCCTCGACCTCCATGTCCCAGGAGAGGAGGGCGATGGCGGTGGTTTGCGGCGAGCCGCCCCTCCCTCCCTCCGTGACCTCCATGCCACCGGAGAAGAGGGCGACGGCTGCGGCTTCCGGCGAGGTAAGTGGATCCTTCTCTGGATCTGAGCCCTCCTCCTCTGGATCTGATCCCTCCTTCTCCTCCTCTAGATCTAAGGGATGCGGCGGTGGCTAGGGTTCTGGCGAGCTCTCGGGGTCAGATCTCGCCGTGTTGCAATGGTTTTTTTTTATGTTGCAACATATGATTTTGAATGTTGCAATGGGATTTTTTGGGGTTGTTGCAACAGATGTTTTTACGATGTTGCAGTAGTACTGCTTTGAGATGTTGCAGTATGTTTCAGTTGCTTCAATCTCATGTTGCAGTAGATGTTCCATGTTGCATGTGTTTTTATTTCGATCGTTGTTTCATATGCTTCACACCAGTGTTGCAATAATATGTTCTAAATGTTTCAGCTCCTTCAGTCTATTGTTGCAGCAGTTAGTTCGGTGTGGTTGCAATAATACGTTCATGGATCGGTATTTTCCGGGCGCTAGCACTGATCTAGACTGTTCCAATTATTATTTTACCGCTGACTCGATTGCACTAAGGCAAAGATCGGATCGACATCGATCCAATGGCGGCGCCGCCGTCGACGCGTGGTACGCCGATCCGAAGGTTTATCTACCTCATCATGGATGGCGGCAGTGACATCCACACGCTGCACCGCATCGACACGAGCCCTCTGTTCGCTGCAGGCGCCGGGCGCGCACAGCACGGGCCGGAGGCGACACAGCGGTTCGCTGCAGGCGGGCGCGCACAGCACGGGCCGGAGGCGGCAGCAACACAGCCCGCCGCTGCCCTACCGCAGCCGTTGGAGCGCTTCGGCTGCGCCAGAGGCCGGCAGTTCCTCCCGCTGGGCCGTGGCGTGGAGAAGATCGTCAGCGTGGACAGGAACCGGCACACCGTCATCTTCGACACGCGCACGGAATCCGTGCGCGCCGGGCCCGACGCGCGCCACGTCAAGTGGCACGGCCACGGGTCCACGTGGGCCGAGGCCGGCGGCAGGCTCTACCACCTCGGCCGCGGCCCCGGGTACGAGGAGCAGGACTGCCTCGACTTCGAGGCCCTGACCTACGACCGCCACAGCGAGGACTGGTTCTGGAGCCTCCTCCCCTCGCCGCCGTTGGAGAGGTACATGAATGTGACCATAGAGTCGTTCGCCGATGCCGGCGCCGGCGCCGCCTCGGCCATCAGGATCTCGACGAGGGACGGCACGTACGCGTTCGACGCGGCGCGCGCGTCGTGGCGCAAGGAAGGCGACTGGGCACTGCCCTTCCGTGGACGCGCGCAGTACGTCGCCGACTACGGCCTGTGGTTCGGCTTCACCGACGGCGGAGCGTCCGACCTGTGCGCGGCCGACCTGAACACCGCCGGAAGGACGGTTCGCCGGCACGTCTGGGCATACGTCGACGGCTACGCAAACCCCGCCGACGTCTGGTTGGAGAGCTCCTACCTCTCGTACCTGGGCTGTGGCAGGTTCTGAGTGACCAGGTTCATCCGGGAGACGGACAAGGACGGGCGCAGCATCATGACGGCCGTCGTGACGGCGGTGGAGGCCACGCGCGCCGCCGCCTCGGCCACCAGGGAGAGGCCATTGCGAATGGTCAGCCAGGGGTCCCTGCGCTACCACGGCCCCGCCGTGTGCGATTAGCCTGGTTGGGCGCATTGGGCGTATTGATGCGCGCCTAGCTTGTTTAGTCGTCTCCATGGGATGCATATGCATGGGGCTGTTGTTGAAGCCCTGAACATGTGTCGTGTTTTGTGTAAAATCTTCAGCATATATGAACGAATGTGTTTGCTTTTGAGGTAGCAATAGCATAGCAAAGCATAGCCCGTTACAGCAACGTCGTCAAAAGCTACGTACGGGAGCACAAAGGTGAATCTACAGCATCGCCGTGTGGCGCCAGCGGTGGAGGCGTCCGCCGAGCTCATCAAATGAGCGTTTAGCACTTCTACAAAACACAATATACTAACAAATATGACCCTAACTTATGGACAAGGTCATCCTTTACAATCAGAAGTAGGATATTGGCACATTGCTAAAGCCTATCTGTGCACCTTGGAACTCCAACATACACGTCAGCACACAGTTCGCCCGTAGCAGACCGAGGAAATATACAGGTTCTTCACCCATTTTTCCTGATTTTTTTTGTCCCGTGTCAGATTGGTAGATAGACAGAAACAAGGAACTAGAAAATCTGTTCCTAAATAGTAAACTGCATGGATAATGGATGCAAATATAGATACATATACCTTTACATGGGTGCTGGGGAAGGCGGAAGTACGAAGAGTTTCTTGCGTCTCGTCCATGGGCTTCCTCTTTGGGATGCTCAAGATAAAAGCAGCTTGGTCTGGCGTAGCCGCAGTCGACGTTATTCTGTAACCAGTCTCCCATCGCCGATGGATACTTTCACTAGGATACAGGAAGTCCAGCTCCACAACCTGTATGTTTCAAGGCAGATTCAGCTCCGTTGGGAGTTGGGACCATATGTTTACAGATTGGGTGTTTTGCATAGAAGCTTGCTGTCAACCAAATTATAGAGTTAAAATGCATATCCATACACAATAATGTAGCACAGAATGTTTTTACAAATAACTCTTGATGATGGACAAGTAACTCTTTTATTTTCAAAAAAAAGGGACAAGTAACTCTACAGAGTGATGAGCAAGGGGAGTTCTCCATGCAGGATGCATTTCTATCAGAATTCAGAGCCTAACTTTGGGACCCTTGGGCGTGTAGGACCACAACTGATGAATTGCAGGCAGCTTAAAAAATAATAATCAAATACAAGAAAGAAATTTTATTTTAAAGAAGAATTAGTCCTACAAATGTCGAGTTGGGGTTTGTAGTTAAAGTTATTCTTACAACCCAGAGGAAAGTACTTCAGATTATGTAGTTTCATGAGGTGCCTCAAAAGGATTCACAGACAAGGTTGCAATGGGGACCAAAAGAAATAACAAGAATACAAAAAGACTCATCAAATTAATTTCCAGAGGAAAAAAAAAAGATCAGACTAGAGGAATTGATGATCAGTCAACTCCAAATATAAATAAAGATGGAAAATACAGCACAAATTAACCTACCTGACACATGAGAAACCACATAATTCATGAAAAACATGATCACCATTCCATATGATGTATTGCAAAAAAAAAGGAAGAAAGAAACGGTAAATACAGCTTGTATTCTAAAGAAAAACTGATAGATACAAGTAGATATGTAACCTGAGTAGAATAGCCTGCATTCCTTGACATGATCACTCCCTAACGATTCCCTGCTGTAGCCAAAGATGGCACATGAAAACCTTCTTTCCATTTTTTATTAATCCATTTATAAGGAAATGATTCACTGACTTTGTATGACTGCTGTGTGTACAGAGTTCCTGTAGTGATGAGGCATACCAAGTCAGAACAATACTTTATATGGAAGAAAAGACGTTAACAGTTCACAAGGAACACACATTACATAGACGTCCTGTCAATGCTCAGCAACAGAAAACTGCTCGCGCCATCAACTTATCACTAGTATATCAGAACTATAATAACCAATAGTAAAACTAACATTAGCATGTCATTTATCAGAACTATGGCTAATGGCACACTAATGATATTAGCAAGAACAGGTAGATAATATGGGGACATAATATGTTTCCTGTCATGCTTTGGCTGACACAATAATTGGCTGATGATACCATATATGGCATATGGAAATATGGAGTCCATGCAGCGATTTTAGTGTACCCGAACCTGCAACTTGGAAGTCTAGGCCTAAACATCATGGAAAAACATGAAAAATTATCTGATTATTGACCATCAAAAAAAATTATCTGATTATTTGCATTCCAATCTGCATACCGGGCCTAATTTGAAAACTGTTTAGTAGAGAAAAACAATCTACAGACCTTTAGACATTACAATCAAGGAACTTCCATTGGTTGCTCCAGCAATTGCTGTTATGTAATAATTCTTCTCCCACTGCTCTGTAATCCACTCCTACAAATATACACAACCTAGAATCAGGAGATGGAGTGATGGAGGGAGTGACAGAGGGAAAGAAAGAGATCATAGTGTACCTTGTGCAGAAACACTTGTGAGAGCTCATAAACTTGAGAACAAAACCCAGTCCCAGCATCCATGATGAGAGCCCAAAAATTTGCTGAAGAAGCCACAGAACTTATATACAAACCATCTCGATTACCTTTTTCTATATGCTGGTGCAGCCTTGAATCAGCTACATTATAATGATATCTAAAGACAAAAGAAGCAGTGTCTTTTACAGTGAAATTTTTTAAATCATACTTAAATAGGGGGAAGCAGCAAAAATAAGAATAAATAGCTGAGTAACCAGTGGGACTTCATATATTTCAAACTAAAAAGAAAGCACACATGCACACACAGAGAAATAGGAGCTACACTAGATTAGATTGCACAGTACTAGAAATAGCATGTAATGCTTTATTTTTAACTCGTACAACAATGTTGACTGCTACTTTTGCCAAGGCATTATGCAAAACTAGGGTCATGCAAGATGTATGACCGTTAGAGGGGGAGTTCACACTAGCGCTATCCCAAACATGACCAAAAAGATATACTGCTTAATTCAGCTACATTTATCCATCATATCCTTGATACCATCTAAAGAAGTTCTTCATATCAGGAATTAAAATGCCAGCTCTTGTTTTATCATGTGTTTATGTTATGTCTAGAAAGCATGTTGATTACAATTTTACAAAGTGAAAAGGGCACAGGGGCACAAAAAAGCCTCTTTCTCAGAGAAAAAGAATCATGGTCGTAACAAGATTTTTTAGTGGCTAAATTTCAATACTGGTGAAACGATAAGAAGCCACATGAGATGCCAAGTGTGTATTCAAATAAATCACATAAATATAAACAAACAAACAAATAATCATTCAGAACCCTAGTGATACTGTGTGCTGTGAGCAAAGGAAGCACTTAGTCTAGACTCTAGAACATACCATTTTAAAGAGCAAGGAAATACGACATCACAGCCAATAGAAGATACTGTATTTAGATACACAAATATAAAAGAGCAATTTATACAACTGGCATATTTGAATGCAATTACCTCTGCTTCATGGGCCACCTAGCATTATACACTGAAATCCATTGAGTTGCTGGGCTCCCCAACCTAACTTTCTTCTTTGGTTGTTCTTCGACCTCAAGGTTTACGTGTGCTCTTCCACGTTTCTGTCCAACCTATAGTATGTGCAACAGATTCATGACCAAAACTAAAAGAAGCAGAATAAACTAACGATTGGATTTTTCCAAATGAATAAAATAGTTCGAACTTTGGAAATGGTAATATGTTGTGTTCATGGCAGATCAGACCTTTAGAGCTCCATCAATTCTGATGGGTCTTGAAGCAGGCTCTTCAATCAAACCATCAAAAACAGAAATAAGTTTAGGTAATTTGGCTCTTCATCAAATTTCAAATTGGTGACCATCTCAAGAAAATATTTGAATGGAACTGGACAGAAGCAACAAAGCATCTCTGGAGAAGTGGCCATTTTCTTCTTACAAACAAGAAAACTCTTGTCATCTCCCTGCATTATTAAATCATTATTAGCAAAAACAGGTCCAAGACCAAACAGAACATGTTACACAGACAAAGCTGAGCATGTCTAAGGCTACCTGATAACCTTACCAAGGCAATCTTCCTCTTATTAAAAAAATAAGGGTGTATGCCAGTGACTCCAGATCATCCCTCCTACTACCAGTACGACCTAAATGAGCATGGACACTAGCATATCTAATTGTTCCCCTGCAAAATGTAAAGAGGAGATAGTTAATATTAGGAGGTGATACAATTTTATACAGAGAGAAGCTAGTACAGTAACATGCACCACAAGATCTAACTAACCTAAAGATATCAGGCCTCTGATCATATTCAACATGCTTATCAGATGCTGCTTCTTTCCATCTGGATGCTGCATAATTTTAAAATTCACAGAACAGTGTAGAAAAGGTCAGTGGGGGCATAAAACATATCCTAAGAAGCCAACGCCAACTAGCGAAGGCCATAGTGTCTCAACAATGTGAGACATAGTATCTTACTATCTTCACATATAGATTAAGTTATTTTGAACAAAATATCTTCACACATAGATTATGTTATTTTGAACAAGGTACCTAAACCAAGATCAATCAGGAAAAGCTTCTTCTCATCAGGTGAACCAGGCTGACCAAGCAAAAAGTTCTCTGGTTTCACATCGCCATGTACAAAGCTGGCAATGATAGGAAACCATGTGACTGTTAGCATCAAAAGTACACTAAAATTCATGCATCTTACTATAATTATCGAATACTTTTCGGTTTACCCTTTTGAATGAAGTTTCTCAAGAATTGATATTGCCTCAACAGCAATGCAAGCAGCCATTTGAGGAGCCACCCTATTGGAGGCATTGATATCAGTAGGGAGTAAGAAAGCATATGGATAAGGTAAACAGTTTGGCAAGATACTTACGCTTGTCCTACAGAATTCCAAACATCCCAGAGGCTGGAACCAAGCATATCCATTACCTGAAATTTGGAATGCAGGTTTAATAAAATATCCAGTTAAGTCGGATACATTTTTTGGCAGTTAATAACTAACTTTAAACTCACAAGAATGTAGTACTCTCCTGGTGACCCTTGTAGTGGACTGATGGAATGCCATAACAACCATTGAGAGTGCTGGTCAGACAAGATAATGGATCATTATCCACAGAGAATAATTGAAATACAGGAGGAGGATTATGAAGGTTCGTACTGATAAACGTGCCACTCGCATGGGGGGGGCATAGTTGCATCCCTTACTGCTTCGGTGCTCAAAATTTAGTGCAACCTACAGGACATTCACCCAGATATTTGAATGGTGTACCAAATAGAACTTTAGCATTCAATTGAAAGAGATAAAAGAAGAAACCTCATGTGCATCAGGACCCATACGAGAAGATCCACCAGATACTCTTCTTCCAACATAAACCTGGCCAAAGCCACCTTTGCCTAACTTTCTACCAGTTAAATATTCTGGGGAATTGCCTACTTGAACCTGCAACAATTGGATAACGTATAGGTGCTTATAATTCATAGCTGCAGAACTATACATATAGGCAAGTTAATCGGCAAGAAATGGCAAACTAAGATTAAAAAAAAGGCGTACCCAGTGCAGAGAGCTCCCGCTTTGTGCGGGGTCTGGGGAAGGGTGTCAGTGGCAAGCCTTACCCTCGCCTGTGCAATGAGAGGAGACCGCGACTCGAACCCGGGACCTTCCGGTCACATGCGGTAAGACTCTACCGCTTGCACCAGGCCCGCCCTTCAAATGGCAAACTAAGATTATAATAAAAAATAGAAACCTATTTAAACAATAAAGACTTTATCTTGCCAAGTGAATATGTCTTTAGTGCCCATTCCTAAAAATGTAAATGCAGTGCACTGAATGTGCCAGCAAATTCTTCACAATGTCTGTCCCAAATGGGGAATACAATCTCTCTGCTATCTCTGTTCTCTAAAGATCTTAAACTTGAGTCCACGAGTTCGTGTGAGTGTGTGGTTTCTTGCATGGGTTCTTTTGCCCTTTCTCGTTCTTAATATAAAGATACGGCGCTCTCCTGCGTGTTTGATAAAAAGATTAACACCTACTGTATTCCCTAAGAGACTGCAAAGGCAAGAATTGTTGAAGAGGGGTGTGAGGAATTGTTTTAATAATCACTGAAATACAATAGGCAAAAAACAACTAATCCAGGAAGATATTGTTTATTATTTCCATTTCCTTGAGTTCATTGTGCTAGTTCTTTACTATATCATTACTACTTTCTAAAAACCAAAAGTATTCTGATGGTACAATCCAATAATTCAGAACTTGATTTCTCTCATGCAAATAAAGATGCAATCTATCAAGCACACCAAAGCCAACGATTTTGTTCCTCTTCACCATTCAGATTGATCATCACCATGGTAGGTTCTAACTTTGGTTTTGTTCTTTGCTTTTATATGAGAAGAACTAATATTGTGCCCAACATATAGCATGTATGCCTAAGACTGCATGCTACACTCTACAGAAAAGTAAACAGATACAGCGCAAGAGAAGCATGCTCCCAGTGATAATAATTGTATCTAACACAACAGGGCACATGTGAACTTCTCTGAATAATACAAGCTACATGATGGAACTACAAAACAAGACATCAAGACCAAACAGCACAAAAAAGGCTTTCTAATAGGTCAAAGGACAACACTTGATCGATCAATCTACAAAATTGCACACCATGTAAAGAAACACGTCAGGGACAGTGAATCCATACCCTCTCAGGCACTGGAGAGGCTGTGGCATCATCCTCTGCCACTGCAAATTTGTCCGCAAAATCACCTGCCATTCTTAAGTTGGCAGCACGGGCAGCTGCCTTGCTCAAACAAAGGTCCTTTTGGGCTATGCCAATAACTGCCTCGCCGGCAACCAGGTTCAGGGAGGTTGTTGCAAGGCAGATCAGTCTTCAAATCAATAGTCTCGAGCCCCTTTCCTCTGTGTTTCGAAGCTGACCTCCCTCTACCCTTAGCAGCTGCCTTGTTACCTCTACCACTACCAGCCACAGCACCTCCACGCCTTCTAGTCCTGCCCTGAGGAGGTGGCACTGCTGGGCTCCCAACTGGGTCTGCAGCCTTGACGTTGTCTGACTTCTTAGACCTCAGGCAAGCTCTCCGAGCACCACTTCGCAACTCTGGCATTATCCCTCCATGCAACTCAGTCTGGCGTTACATCCGTGGGCGCTCCTCCTTCCAATCTCCACATGCAAGAATACCCAACAGAGAAGAATAAATTCACCGATCAAAGAAAAACCATGAGAGAAACCCAATCAGCAAGCATCGGAATTTCAGCTCAACTGCTCAAGAAGTGTCCCTCCCTTCGCCCGTTGTGACAAGAAAAGGACCAGTTCAGGTGGACAAAAGCGGGGAGGACGGAGGAATAAAACTGGGGCCCTCATCGCCATCGCGAACCCCCTTAAAGACACGCCCTGCTTCCCAATCACCAAGGTCCTTTAAAGCGGAATCGAATGCCACCGTCGTCACTACAGCCAGCGATGAGGCGATGACATCTCCATCACCCGATGCCTCCCAGGGGGGGTGTCCACCGAGGAAAATCCCGCCTTTTACAGAGCCAGACAGATTACCGCCATCGCGAGCTAAATCAGCTCCAGACTAGTCAAAGGAAGCCATCTCAAGGCGCCAACCTCACCCAAACCGCGCACTTCTCCGAAATCCGTACTGACGCACCGCGCGACAGGCATCTTATCATCAGCGCCGAAGCATTTCCGGGCCCGAATCCGCCGCGTGAGGCCGAATCAGGCCGCCCGGCAAAACCACATCAGATCGCGCCGACGTACCAGCGGACGCACGACGAACGATCCGATCGTGCGGAACCTGGGAGCCACCGCCACGCGCGCGGATCAAAAAGAAAAAGAAAGGCAAAATAGTCAAAATCGTCCCTTGACTCAATTTCGTCCCTCAACTATAAAAACGTCCGATTCAGTCCCTGAACTATCCAAATCGGGCCAACTTCGTCCATTCGCTGACGTGGCACGCCACGTTGGCTTGCCTAGTCACTGCCCAGCAGGGGCGCCTTCAGTTTTGGCCCAACAACGAAGCCCAGTAAGGAGGAGACTAGGGCAGACCACGGGAGCTGCTCACGAGTCGCGACTCTTCGGCCTTCGTTCCGCGGTTCCGCTTCCGCCTCCGGCCTCCCGTTCGTACCAGGCACGCGCCGCCGCTCCTGCCTCCCGCCTCCTGCTCCACCCCACGGCGGCGCGGCCCCCGCTTGCCGGCGCCCGGCGGCCGCCGTCGCCCTCGGCCCTCGCAATCAGGCAGGGCCGAGCCTCGCCCCTCGCCCCTCGGCTGCTGCTTGCCGGAGCCCCCTGTCCCTGTGTGAAGGTATTTCTTCAATTCTTCAGTTCTTCTAAGTATTTACTTCAAGTAATCTCTGCTAGTTTTGATTTCAACTGCTAATTTTGAATTTTTGATTCCAATTAGATGAAGAGGACAAGGACTATTGCATCATATTTCTCTTGAGTTGCTAAACAAGAACAGCAAACCATCCATCCTCCATCTCCTCCACCGCCAGATCCAGAGCAAGAGCAAGGAAGCATCCAACCTCCTCCAGCGCCATCTCAAGGTGCAGAGCAAGAGTCAGTAAGTACCAGAGCTAGTGCAGTAGATGTAGATTTGAGCCAACCAATTGTAGAACTAGACCAAACTAGTTTGCCTGCAGCTGCAGTAGAGTTGAGCCAACCTCCAGCAGAAGAAACTAGCAATGAAAATGCTAATTTTGTGGAGGAGGGCGATTCTAATCATGTGCTTGGTCCTGAAGATATTGTTGCAGATCCAGCACTTAGAAAAACCATTGAGGAAATGCATCCAAACATTAGGGATGATGAAACCTTATAAAAAGATATAAAAATATTACTATCTTGTTAGTTTACATTATTAGGAATATTTATCAGACTCCAAATAATAAAAATTGCAATATTTACATTTACATAATTTTGGCAGGTTAATAACCCTGACCTCAGGGAAAAATCAGATCAGACCAGTTTGCCCATGAACCTTTAGTTTTTTTACAGAATTGTGGAAATGGGGATTGAATTTTGGTGCCCTTATCACAAATTAGGCCAAAGTAATGTTAGTTGGTCATCCAGTGGATTTTTACATGAATTGTTGTTTATTGTCTCTATTTCCCAAACAGTTTCTCTGATATTTTAGTTGGAACCTATGATGTTTTTTTTTGGTGTCGTGATCTGCTAAGCATTATAGTAAACACTTGTCAGAGACCACAATAAACTTGTATGCAGTAGATTGCTCTTGTTCCAGACGCATCTACATGATATTGTGTCTCCACTCTACAGAAGTACCTAGATTGTTCCTAATAAGCCCTAGCTAAACCCCTTCATGTTTGAACTCCCAGTTTTATGTTATGTAAGGAAGGCAATGTGGATCTCCACAATGCTATGTTTGATACATAGGCATATTAGCAAAGAGGTCATGCATGATGCATGGCAGATGGCACAAAGATGAACGATATTGAATTATTTATTGTGTGGTTCATATAGCACCTGAAATGGTAAAGCATTGAGGCATGACCAGTTGACCACTTTGACATGATTTCACAATCAACTTTCGAGACAAAAAGGTTGTCCCTAGTTTGCCTTAGCCATATGAGTTTCAGTGCCCAAAAACCAAACTATATGGCTATGTTTGGTGTCATATGTCATGTCCGCTATAGGTTGGTCCATGTCTCTTTCTCGACATGCCATGTCCTTGTTTTAATTTTCCACGCTTTACAAGTGTTGTATTGAATTATTGCATGGATGAAGTTGGTTAGTAATCTATTTAATGCGTTCTAGATTGATGTAAAGAGATGAAAGTTATCTTACCTGGATGACCATTTTGTCTTTTTAATGCGTTCTCCGATTTTTTTTTATGGAATTTGACCACGAAATGGATATGTAGGGCGGAATTAACATGGGAGATTCTGAGGTATTGACTGTTAGATTTCATTTCAATGGGGAATTTGTTCTTGATGGGTCACAGATGCAATATTGCAATGGGGATTTGGGAGTATCACACATAGATAAGGACAAATTATCAATCCCGAGCTCAATGGCCATTTGATAGATCACATCACTTTTCGGAGATCCGTTAGGATGTCTTTGGTTGCCAATTGGTGCAAAGCTAAATAGTGGAATGAGGTCGCTTGTAGATGATAAGTCCTGCCTGGATATGCTTGATGAGATAGGATCTGCAGGTGCTATTGACATATACACTGAACAAATTGAGTTGGACATGAGTGGCAATGAAGAAGGTACAGAGACACAATATGGAGATGAGGACGTCTTTGCCTTATTCAGAGATGAGAACATTATGGATTTGAATGAACAAGAAGGTAACCAATGTCTTTGGACGGGATGTGAATATTATGTATTTGGAGGCTCCTACCACTCATGAGGATGGTCAGAATGACGAAAAGGGTGATCAACATGCAGAAAATGAGGAGGAAGAAGAATCAGGAAGTGATTTTGATGCCACAGGATTTACAAGTGATGAAGATGATGAAGTAAGGGAGATGAGAAATAAATACAAAGCAGGTTTATGTCAATTGCGAGGAAGAGAGGAGATATTCCATTTGACACCCCAATTTTTTGGATGTTCCTGGAGGTAGTGATGTCAACAATTTTGCTCAAGCCAATGAAGGTGGAGATGGCATTGCATACTTTGATTCAGATCATGATGCATCATATGATGAGGACAATGATGGTGTTTCAAGGAGAAGGAACTGCAGGTTTCCAATATTTGATAGTCATGCTGAGACTCCACATTTTGCTGTGGATATGTGCTTTAGAGGAAGGGATCAATTGAAAGATGCAATAGAAATGTATGCATTGAAGATGAAGGTAAATATCAGATATCCCAAGAATGATAAGCGAGGCTTAGGGTCTGTATGCATGTGGAAGGATGTCCTGGGTTCTCCATGCTTCATACAACTCCAGGACTGATTGGTTTCAGATTGTGACATATAATCCAAATCATGCATGCTGCCCAGAACTTAAAAATAAAAGGTTATCTACAAAAAGAATATGTGACAAGTATGAGAGTACAATCAAAGCTAATCTAGCATGGAAAGCTAGAGCAATGAAGGAGACAGTACAAGAAGACATGGGTGTCGATGTGTCAATCACAATGATTAAGAGGGCAAAGGCAAGGGTTGTCAGGAAGATAATGGATTGTCAGACTGGCGAGTACTCAAAGTTGTTTGACTATGCATTGAGTGAAGCGAAGTAATCATGGAACCAGTGTGCATGTTGCTCTAGATCCTGAAGAAACTGACCATGTATTTCAGAGAATGTACATATGTTTGGATGCATGTCGAAGGGGGTTCTTGGATGGATGTAGGAGAGTTATTGGGCTTGATGGTTGCTTTCTTAAGGGGCCTATGAAAGGTGAGTTGCTGTCAGCTGTTGGAAGGGATGCCAATAATCAGATTTACCCAATAGCCTGGGCTGTTGTCGAATATGAGAACAAAAATTCATGGGGTTGGTTTCTTGGGCATCTTCAAAAAGATATCTATATCCCTTATGGTGCAGAAGGATGGGTTTTTATAACAGACCAACAAAAGGTAATTGTGACCACAACCTATGACATATATGCCACGGAGATCCTTAAAATTGGATAATAACATTTAGTTTATCTATTAATGCAGGGGCTTTTAAGTGTAGTGAATGAGATGTTTCCATTAGCTGAGCATAGGATGTGTGCACGACACATTTATGCCAACTGGAGGAAAAACATAGGCTACAAGAGTACCAAAAGAGGTTCTGGAAGATTGCGAAGGCTTCAAATGAGATGTTGTTTAATCATTACAAGAATAAGATCACCAACAAAACTCCTAGAGGATGGAAAGATTTGCAGAATGCAGACCCCATACATTGGTGCCGAGCTTGGTTCAAGGTTGGATCCAATTGTGAATCTGTTGATAACAACATGAGTGAATCATTTAATAGTTGGATTATAGAAGCAAGGTTTAAGCCTATCTTGACAATGTTGGAGGACATAAGGATCCTTGTGACTAGAAGAATCCAAGAGAATAGGAGCAACAGTGAGAGGTGGTTAATGGAAATATGCCCCAACATCATCAGGAAGGTATGTAAGATCGGGCATAGGACCCAAGATCTTGTCAT